CATTAAATATTTTGTCACCATGAACAGAATGTAATCTAAACCGCATTAACCTAGTTTTATATAATTAAGCACAGCAACATGTTTTCATCGTCGAATATTAAAGCTCGAAATCAATTATCAATTCATAAAATTTCTTTGAGTCGAAATAACTTTGATAATTTCTATTCAAGAACAATTGAAGATCAACACAGAGATCGGTGATCCACTATTTGTATCAATTCATATGTTACACTCTTTAAATCGATTAGAATAATAGTTTTTTTTTCTAATTCTAGACAAGAAAAAAAGAAAACGATGTCATCCCGTTCTCTCTGGACTCACATTGTGCTTTCGGAGTTCAAGAAGTACAGAACTACTGATGAATATCACCGATATAGTCTAACAGTAGGATCTGAGACCATCAATCTCTCTGTCTGGATTATGTACTATTTGCATATGATATGTGAACATTGTTTTTGCAAAGTTTTCAATCTTCTTATCTGAATATGATAACATAAATGAACAAGATTATCAAGTCTCAGTACCGGTAATGTTTTTTTTTCTTTTGATTTTTTGATTCATTTCGTCATTGGTCAAAGATAATTTCGCAACTTCAAATGTTCTTTAGGACATTCGTTTGGTTTATAAAGAACGAAATAAAGACAACAATACAAACTTACACATATTTAAAGAGCAAAGTTTTTTTCTTTCTCTATTTTTTGTGATTCATTTTGAATTCAATCTTATCGAAAAATTTCTATCTTACATCTTTATATTTACATTCTCATTACTGTATCTAATTTGTAAAAAGAAAGTAATTTAATTTTGTCAAGAAAATTAAAGATACGAGGCCAACTTTTAATTCATAGTTTCTCATTTTATACATGACTTGTGTCATGGGTTCTATTTAAATAAAAAACACAGATTAAATTCATTTTTTTTATCATTTGTCTTCTTATATCGTTACCAATAAAAAAAAGAACGATAGTTTTATTCATGAAAATAGTTTTCAACAAAAAGAAGGTATTTTACTAGATTAGTAAAAAAATTCAATGGATCAAAGTGATCAGAGAGTAAATTGCATCAAGAACATTCTCAAGAAAAATTTCAAATCAGTATTCTAGTGTAAAAATGAGAATCTATATCATCCTTTTTCAACAGACAACTGTACATTAGAGAGAATCTTGTGCCATTGTCTGTACTCGACTCTTTATTTGTGTTATCATTAGCGAATTTGTTTATTCAATAGATATACTTTAATATGAACGAAAAATATAGCACCCACATACTAGTATTAATTATCAGTTTATGACTAGTAAATTTCCCTTTCCTCTAGTCATTTATTAAAACATCATTCAAAATCTATTCGTTAATATTTGAAAAATGTAAGTTGATGAACTAAAAAATGATTTTTAAACAATTATGG